AACGGCTGCCCAGCTGTCTTTCTGAAACCATGTTGGTCATTTTTCTGAGGTTGATTCCTTGCATTTGTATGCTCTGCATTGTTGCTTAAATTATGGCTCAATTTTACTGAAGCATATCTTCCACCGACGTGTGTGTGTGTGTGTGTGTGTGTGTGTGTGTGTGTGTGTGTAGTACTGGACATTGAACCCAGGAGCCTAATGCTGAGTTACGTTCTCAGTCCTTTTTGATTTTGATTTTGAGATAGGGTCTTGCTAAATTGCCCAGCCTGTGCTTGAACTTGTGATCCTCCTGCTCACCCTCCAGAGGTGCTGGGATTACAGGCATGAGTCACCATGCCAGGTTTTCTTTTACTGACTAAGAAAGGTTGTTGGGATGCAAATTTAATTACTCTGTACTTTCTGGAAAAGATCATTATTTCAGCTTCTCACCTGACTGATGGCTTGGTTGCCTACTGAAACCTAGGTTGAAAATCAATTTCATTACGAATTTTGAAGAAGTTTACAGTGATGCTAAATAATACTGAGAACTCTTCCCCCTCCATACTTTGCAGAGAACCAAGGTTTTGTCTTTATTTCCAGTCTGTGGTTCTTAAAGTTTGATTACTACACACAGAGGCTCATAGCTGGGATGTAGTTCAGCAGCACAGTGCCTGCCTGGCAAGCGCAAGGTTCCAAGTTCGATCGCTGGTACCAAACCAAACCAAACCAAAAACAAAACAAAACCCACAGATACTCATGGCTTTCAATTCTGGGACATTTACTTTAATTTTCTCCAACAGTTTTTTTAGTATATAAACATATAAATTTTAACTTCAATTCACATTGTTAATGAGATTTATCCGTATTGATTCTCTCTGGGGTTTTGTGGGGGGGTGTGTGTTCTGGAGATTGAATCCAGGAACCACTGAGTTGCATCCCCAGCCCTGTTTATTTTATTTTGAGTCAGGGTCTTGCTGAGTTAGCCAGGCCTCAAACATGGTGTTAGGTAAAAGAGCTGAGAACCAGGACCAGACCAGGACCATAAGAAGCCTTCACTATGGGGAGGGTCTGCCAGGCTGTCCCTGCTTTGTTTGCCTATTCCTCTAGGAAACTCGCTGTAAATTTGCAGGACATGACTTCTGCCTTTCCCCCCATTTACAGAGGTCCTTCCTTTTTCCTTCCCTCCCACCCCATTCCTTCCTTCCGTCCTTTTTGTGGTACTGAGGATGAATTTTTCATTGTATCATACCTAGGAATTAGCAAATCTAGGTTTGTAATGTTTAATTCTACACCTAGCACACGTACCTACACAATTAGCTTTGCTTTGTTTTAGCAATACTGGGATTGAATCCAGAGCCTTCATGCTGAACTACACCAAAATCCCTTTTTTCACTTTTTATTTTGCAACAAGGACTTGCTAAGTTGCCTAGGCTAGGCTTGGACTTGCAATCCTCGTGCCTCAACTTCACAAAGTATGCCTATATAACTTTTTTTTTTTCCTTTTGGTTTTTTGAGACAGGGTCTCACTATGTAGTTCAAAAGGGCCCTGGAACTCACTGTGTAGCCCAGGTTGGTCTCGAACTCACCGCGATCCTCCTGCCTCAGCCTCCTGAATGCTGGGATTACAAGCATGCGCCACCACGCCAGCCTTTCTTGTTTTTCTTTTGGTACCGGGGATTGAACTTGGGTCCTTGCGCTTGCAAGGCAGGCCACCGAACTGCTGAGCTAAATCCCCAGCCCTATCCTTTCTTGTTTTTGAGAGGCAGTCTCACTATCTTACCTAGGTTGGCCTCAAACTCCTGGGCCCAAACAATCCTCCTGTTTTGGATTCTTTTTTTGGTACCTGGGATCAAACTGGGGACCTTGTACTTGCAGGCAGTTTGGCCTCTTGAATAGCTAGTGGGGCTATAGTCACCGGTCATCACACTCAGCTACACAATTAGTTTCTGTGTCTATTTGATTGGTCTTACTTCTGCACCACATTGGAGGCCCTAACTTATAGGTGGCCCTGCCCTAGTATAAGTGTGTCACTTAGTTGTACCAGGCACAAGCCAGGTCACTGGGAGCCCTCCTGACTCAGGCCTGGAGTCTCTAAAGCCACTAGCTTCCTTCCTCCCTAAGCAGAACTGATGCGGAGGCGACCTCTAGTGACCAAAGTAAGAAACTGCAGTTGCGCGCTACGGGAAGAGTGGGGAACACGCAGGGCAGTTATGCTTGGATTTTGTCATCTTTACATTTGCAAGGTGGGCGCGCTCACCACCACTTTATTCCTGAAGACAAGGAGGCTCCACGAAGTGAACCAACTCCTAGAACTGTCACTGGGACTCAGTCGGGGTCTGTCGGAGGCCGGGGATTTTGCCCACTAGGCCGCAGTTAGTTCTAGCCCCGGCCCCGCCCCCGCCCAGGCCTGCTGACTCACAATCTGCAGCCTAAGGGGATGGCTGTAAAGTCTGAGAAGCACCCTAACTCCCCGGGGGAGTGGGAAAATCCTGCCCTGTGCTCCTGTGAAGACATTGAATTTTCACATTTCTTTATGAATGAGGCCTTTGGTCATAAAGCTCTTCTGTGATTTCACAAGTACTTTTATTCCTTTTTTTTCTCTTTTTTCTTTCTTTTCATTATCAGGAATGGAACTCAGGGAGGACTGAGCTATACCCCCAGCCCTTTTAAAAATGTTTACTTTGATCTTGGGCATGGTGGTACATGTCTGTAACGGTGGTACATATCTGGGAGGCTGAGGCAGGAGGATTGCAAATTTGAACCTAGCCTGGGGAAATTTGTGATTCATCAAAACCTTGACTTAAAAATTTTTCTTAGAAGGGCTGAGGATTGCAGCTCAGCACGAAGGCCCTAGGTTGAAGCCCCAGTACCAGAAAAAAAGTTGTACTTTGGGACAGGATCTTGCTAAGTTGCTGTGCCTCAAATTTGAGATCTTCCTGTCTCAGGCTCCCAGTAGCTGGGCTTACAACTGTTCAACACCATGCCTGGCTACAAGTACTTTCTTTACATTGATATCTCTTTACCCCGTAAGGTAAATAAGGTCAGTGGTCATCATTCCTGTTTGATTTTATTTTCAAATTTTTATTTTTGGTACCAAGGATTGAACTCAGGACCTTGTGCTTGCAAGGCAGGCAGCAGAACCAACTGAGCTAAATCCCCAGCCTGCATCATTCCTGTTTTGGATAAAGAGGATAGGTGTCACAGATGAATGCCATCTATACCTTCCCCCCAACCTCCATCCCTCCTGTCCATAGCCTGGGCGCTGCCCCCAGCATCGGAAATGGGACACAGCTCAGCAGCAAGAGCCCCCTTTATTAACCATCCTCCCATCTCCAAGTGCACATGGGTAGGAGAGGAACAAGAAATACCACGATGGGAGGGGTGGGGAGAGGGCAGGAAGGGCCCCCTGGGATCAGGCCTAGAGACTGGAGTCCCGCTCCTTTCGTGGAGCAGCCCACCTCTGTGCAGTGCCCCGACCTCACGCCCACCCCCTCCAGTGCAGCACAGTGCTACGCAGGAGGCTGAGAGGACAGCAGAGGGCCCTGGCCTGGGCACAGGGAAAAGCAGGCACCAGGAGGGGATGTGGGAAAAGGCAGCTCATGTCTAGGGCCCCACCAGCCTCTACTTCTTAGGTCAGACTGCAATGACTGGTAGGCTGCTGGCTGGGGGTGGGGGCTATCATTCCTGGATGGAAGGTTGAGGTAGGAGGAGCCTGATGCTGAACCTGGACTTAACCAAAGTGAGTGGGGCACAGGAGGGGGTGGGGAGGTCAAACAGGAACATGGATGGAGAGAACAGTGAATCTCCTAACCCATCAGAGCGACAATCCAGAGGTGAGCTCAACGTGACTGACAGGGGCCAGGCCTGAGTGAGGTGGAGATGAGGAAGCTGATGGAGGGGGCTTTCCCCAACCTTCACATAACAAAAGCCTTGAACTACACAGAGAAATGGGATGGGGGTGAAGCAGCAGTGGGGGTGAAGAGAGGGAGCACCCTCGGTTCAGGTTGGAAATTTCCAGGATGTCAAAGCAACCCAGCTGTCCCCGCTCTCTCTGGGTTGGCAGGGGAGGGGAAGAGCAGCAGCAGAGAGAAGCAATCGCTGAGAAAGAAGGTGTGTGAGGTTCACTTGGATTCTGGCAAGCCCACGTGGAGGGTCTGAAAGGTTCCCAGCTTCCTCTGTCACCCACCCTTGAGCCTCTGAAAATCGGAGAGAAAAGCAGACTCCCCTCTGCCCACGGGGAAATCAACAGAGGAGTATTCAGCACCACGGCACAGGCACCCCTGGCTTCAGAGCTGGGCTGGCACCATTTGTAAACATTAGACTTGGTGATGTCTGAGGACGGAGGAGGGCACTCAACCTGTACTCTCGGGTTTGGGAAACCTTCAGGATGGGTCCCTAGGACTTAAGGAATGTCAACCAGCCACAGGAAAGAGGCTACCAGGGCCGCTGCAGGGCCAGGAGGGGGTGGACAAGGCTGTATCTACCTGTCTCAGCTTGTGTACAACTTCAGTGCCCAGACCTCAGAAGAGGCCACCACTGGCCATGGCTGCTGATGGACTGGAGCCAACACTGAGCCTTGGGGTATTGAGCAAAGCCCCGTGCAGGACAGGCTGTTCTGGGGAAGATGCTGGACCTTTTGACCTTTTTTTTTTTGTTGTTGTTTTTGAGACAGGGTCTCACTATGTAGTTGAGATTGACCTGGAACTATGTAGCCCAGGCTGGTCTCGAACTCACAGTGAATTCCTGCCTCAGCCTCCCAAGTGCTGGGATTAAAGGCAAGCGCCACCATGTCTGGCTCCTTTTGGCATTTTTGACATGGTGTTTTTTCTTTTTTTTTTAGAAAGGGTCTCACTACATATTTCAGGCTCACCCTGAACTCACTATGTAGTCTTAGCTGGCCTTGAACTTGTGTCAGTCCTCTTGTCTCAGCCTCCTGAGTGCTGGGATTCAGGCATGTGCCACTATGCCTGAACTGGGACTCAGTTGTCACTCACGGGCTCCAGGCATGGAGAAATGGAGAGTTGGGAAACAAAGTTCCTTTATGACATGAGATGTTCCGCCACCATCCATGGCACTGCCAGGGCTGGCAGGGAGCTGGGTCTGAGCAGTCCACATGTGTGGGGCTGACTCTGCTCCAGCACGGCCCTTGGAAGATGTGCAGGGGTCATCCCACAAGTTGGAATGATGTTGGCCTTGGGGTGGGCCCACAGCTGTAAGAGACAGGTTCCTGGGTCCAATGGCCAAGGCCAGGTGCTTCTTTTGAGGCAGTGGTTATGCCAAGAGATCCACAAAGATGGCGTTGGCTGTGGTCTGGCCGAAGATGAAGGCTCCCAGAGTGACCAAGAGAACTCCGTAACTGACCAATGCCCACCAGCTGCAGGGTAGAGAAGAGGGGCCTCATCAGTCATCCTGTTTCGACTGTGGACTTGTGTACATAAACACACACACACCCATATATATACATATGTACACTTCAGTTCAGCACCATAACCACTTATAGTATTTCAAGTGGTAGTGCACTTTGGACTTCCCAAGGACTTTTTTCATAAAAAGGCATGAGGCCAGGTGTATTATCCTAGGGACAGGCAAGGAAACTAAGAGCTGATGGGATGACCTGACTGTTCACAGTATGCCAAGTAGAGGGCCAGGGTTAAATTGCAGATGTTCAACTGGGATGATGTTTAGGAAAAACAGGTGGCTTGAAATGTGATCCATTTCATTAAAAAAGAGGCAAAAAGCAGGGCTGGGAATTTAGCTCAGTGGTTCCACTGCCGGCCTCATAAGCACAAGGACCTAAGTTCGATCCCCGGTACAAAACAAACCAAAAAAAAAAGAAGTGGGCTGGGGATTTAGCTTAGTGGTTCTGGCGCCTGCCTCACAAGTGCAAGGACCTGAGTTCAATCCCCGGTACCAGGAAAAAAAAAAGCAGCAGCAGCAAAAAGCAAACATCTGGCCTAGGGATGTAGCTCAGTAGTAGAGCAGTGAGGCCCTGGGTTTAACCTCTAATACCGGAAAGAAATATAAAGTAAATACCTGCAAACATATGTATTAAAAACAGCAAGAGGGGCTGGGGATTTAGCTCAGTGGTGCTGCTGCCTGCCTGGCAAGCATAAGGACTTGAGTTTGATCCCTGGTACAAAACAAAACAAAACAAAAAAACCAAACAAAACAAAAAAAAAACAAAAAAAAAACAAGCCCGGCGTGGTGGCGCACGCCTGTAATCCCAGCACTCGGGAGGCTGAGGCAGAAGGATTGCTGTGAGTTCGAGACCAACCTGGGCTACATGGTGAGTTCCAGGTCAGTCTCAATACATAGTGAAACCCTGTCTCAAAAAACAACAAAAAAAACCCCAAAAAACAAAACCAGTAAGAGGATTGTATCATTTGGTATTGAGATTGTTTTTCTTTTCTTTTTTGGCACAAATGCTGTGTGTGTGTGTGTGTGTGTGTGTGTGTGTGTGTGTGTGTGTGTAGAATTATTATTTTTTTGTACTGGGAATTGAACTCGGGTCCCTGCACTTACAAAGCAGGTGCCAGGACCACTGAGCTAAACCCCTGGGCCCCTGCTGTATATTTTTAAAAATTTCTTTAATAAAAAAGTAGTATTACAGAATAATTGTCCTTTTGTTGGCAATGGGGTTCGAACTTGGATCCTTGTGCTTGTGAGGCAGGTGGCGGAACCACTGAGCTAAATCCCTGGCCCCAGAATAAGAGTTCTTAAAGCATGCAACCTTAAAAAAATCTCTACTATTCAGGGAAATGTGCATATTAAAGCAGTGTGATGCTTCTCATCCCCTAGCCTAACATAACTTTAAGTGATATGATCATTTTTTTTTTTTTGGTACCGGGGATCAAACTTGGGACCTTGCGCTGTAAATCAGATGGCGGAACCACTGAGCTAAATCCCCGGCTCTAGCCTAACATAACTTAAAATAGCTACTATATATAGCACTGGAGGAGGTGTGCTATCATTCACTGTTTCTGGGACTCTGGCACTGCCTTGAACCCATGTGCCAAAGTAAAATGAACATGACCTGTGACTCATTGCTCCCCAACTCTGACATTGGTGATCAAACCAGCTGTATCCCTGGCACTTTTTTTTTTTTGCACCAAGGATCGAACTCAGGTCCTTGTGTTTGCAAGGCAGGTGCCGGAACCACTAAGCTAAATCCCCAGCCCTTCCCTGGCACTTTTGGCACTAAGTTTCCTGCAGCAGGCATCCCTGCCCAGTAGTAGGAGGCTATGAGTGGCATGTGCTTATCTTCTATAATTTGGCTATATTGTTTTATATCGGGAGTCAGACCAAAGCTGTGTGTGGTTTAAATGGGCACATCAGCTGGCAGATTGGGCAGGTAAGCACCCCCCAAATGGCTGCCACAGAAACGTAGGCCCTGGTCTGTGAAGTGGCAGGGCTCTGCTCAGTTATGTGCAGCTAAGGTCAGCGTGACCCCTACTAAAACCCTTTCCCCTAAGTTACGTCTTCTCACTGACCCAATGGGTGCGTACTAATTGCACCTGGTCCCAGTACCCATTTGTTCTATCCAGGCAAGATAACCTGCTTACTCATTAACAACCTGCCTGGTGCCATCACGCCAGGTGTTCGGCAGTATTTCAATAGATGCCTTCAGAACATACCTTGCTCCCTATTCCTTCCCACGACTGTATTCAATAAATGGATGTGCCTGGGGCGTCTTTGCTGTCAGCAGCAGCACTGACCAGCATCTAAGACTCAGCTTCTGTCTGTTCTTGTTTTTGTTTTTGGTACCAGGGATTGAACTAGGGTCCTTGCGCTTGCAAGGCAGGCCACCGAACTGCTGAGCTAAATCCCCGGCCCCCCTTCTGTCTGTTCTTGAACTTACCTTTGTGTTGTGGTGGCTCACAGGCCAGAACCCATAGCAAGAGGTCTTGGTAACATCCCCTTCCCTGCTCCCTACAGTTTCCCAGGCTGGGCTTGAAGTTGCAACTGTCACACCTCAGCCTTCTGAGAAGCTGGGATTACAGGCACGTATCACTGCAAGTCCTGTGATTTTTTTTTTTTTTTCAGTGCTAAGGGATCGAAGCCAGCACCTGTGTACTGAGTTACATTCGAGCCTCTTTTTTTAGTTCTTTGAGAGGGTCTTGCTAAATCACTAAGTTGCCCAGGAACTGTGGCTGGAACTTGCGATGTTCTGCCTCAGCTGCCCAGAATGCTGGGATTATAGGTGTGTGCACCAACAGGTCCAGCTAAGTATACAAGTCTCTTGAATCCTACTTTAGGTCTCCTCCAGTCTCTCCACCCCAAACTCCCTGAGAGGACCTTCAGCACTGGTTCTGCTTTACCTGGCTGGTTTCACCTCCTCCATTTCAGAGAGTTTGGCTTGAATGAGGCACAGCCCTGGAAGAGAAGAAGTGGCCCTGCGTTTGTAGGGTGGGAACTCCCTCCCTCTGCCTAGCCCTCCCATCCTGACAGGTGGCCACTTTCCTGGGTAGGTTTGGAGCCAGTGGGGAGCGAAGGCCAGGGAGGCCTTGGGAGTCCATGATACGGGGCTATAAGCTGGGGGCACCAGGCTTTGCACCTGGGAAGACGAAGATGAAGCAGGCAGCCAGGCCTCCGATGACTGCGATGACCTTGCCGATGTCAGGGGTGAACAGTGCCAGCAGCAGGGTGAGCAGGAACCACACCAGCGTCTGCAGAACTCGCCGTCGCCGCTCTCGCCCCACGTCCTCCTCTACAGGCGTCCCCTGGTAGCGCAGCCACAGGCCTTCGACCACCGCCCTGCCCACGAGAGGAGGGGCTCATGTGACCTAATCACACCTCCTCAAGCTCGGGGCAGCCTGTGGGTAAGGCCGATTCCTGAGCCTTCCTTTCTTCTGTAACAGAGGCCAAATAGCACTGGCCTTAGTGCTTTGGGGTTGGATGAGACAGTGAATGCGAAGGGCCCAGTGCTCTGTTTCATCTCGTGGGATCCAGCACTATTAATCTTCAGAAGGAGCTGTCCTGGGTTTCCAAGAGGCTAGGAATCCATGTGACAGCTCAGGCAAGGATCTGGACTACAGAATCTTGGAGAACTCAGACTGCTCAGGACAAAGGTACCTGAGACCCAGCTTGGAATATGTGGGGGGACATCATGGGCATGGACTCTTTTCTATGGGCTTCAGTTCCTTCCCAGTGGGTTTCATAGAAGGCCAAGGACCATGCTGAAGGGCTTACAGGGGCCCTTGTGGGTGGGGAGGAACCTCACCGTCCACAGAAGTGAAGGATGGGGTAGGAGGTGAGCACACTGAGGATGATGAAGGCTCGGGCGACAGCCACAGCTACATCCTCTGAGGGATAGGACAGGAGCACGTCAGGGTCCACAGCAGCTCCAAAGGTCAGGAACCCACAGATGCCTGTGGGCAGGGACAAAGGGGCCAGGTCAGGCAACCCTGGGATTCTGGGAAGAGGGTGCACTGCCAACTGCTGCTTCGTGCAAATATCAGCAGGGGAGGACACTGGTAGCTCTGGAGGCTTGGACTAAGCCTCAGGCAGAGTCAAGATGGGGGCACCAGCCTCCCCGCAGCCTTCTCAGATGCCCCCTTGCTGGAAGCCCTCTCGTCCCCACACTGCTGTCTTTGTGAACTTAAACTTGGCCCGCACATCGCCGTCTCAGAATTTCGACATTCACTCTTCCATCTGCTCAGGTCTTCACGCTGCCACCTCACCTTTCAGGTCTTGGGTGAGATGTCCCCTCCTCAGACACCCTGCCGTGCCCATCTACCATTATCCCATCACTCGCTCATCACCCCCTTTTATTCTCTTCAGAGCACACATCTCTCTCTGAATTGCTTTTTTTTTTGGTACCAGGAATTGAATTCGGGACCTTGTGCTTGCAAGGCAGGTGGCACAACCACCGAGCTAAATCACTGGCCCTCTGAACTGCCTTTTTAACTGGTATAATCTTTGCCTCCCCAGCCAGAGCATGTGCCTCAGAAGAACAGGAACATGGCCTGTCTGCCTCTCACACTCCTAGCTGTGGCTTCAGAGGCAGGAACAGAACTGGCACAGGTGGCTCGGGTGCCCCTTCCCAGGCTCCCAGTCCTGCCCCCTCCCATCCAAACTATTACACGTGGTGCCAGAGTCCTCGTTCCCCAGCATACCCTCTTCTTAAAACACTTCCTCTCAGGATCCCAACAGCAGCTGGCTCTTCCTGCCACCTGCCCCCAACTTCCCCCACACCAGCTACACAGGCCTCCTTTCTGTCCCTGCCTCAGAAGCTTGGCTTTTGCAGTTCCTTGTCTGTGACACTCCCCAGCTTGGCATATTCTGGCTTTTTCTTATCATCCCTCTGCCTTCCCCAATGCCACCTATTTGGAGAGGAACCTTCTGTGAAAGCCACCCCCATCCAGTCCCACCCACCCCCTCCTGGTTTCACTGCCATGACGGCACCTGCCACTGTCTGGAAGTTATCGCTGATTCCTTTTTCTCTCTTGTACAACTGTTTCTTCAATGAGACTGCCACCCCCGCAGGGGCAGGACAAGGCCCATCCATCTCCATGGCATCCCCACACTGAGAACAGCTGTTGGCATTTACTAGGCACCCATTCAGAACTGATAAATGAATGGAGAGACACACCTCTTCCATCTTGGCAGAGGCGGCCCCAGGCAGCCCAAGTTCAAGCCAATGTCTACGGATCCTTTTGGGAATGCAGGGCTGTCTCCAGGAAAGGTGGGCCCAAGGATTAGAGGTACCAGGCCCTGGGAGGGGGGCACTCACCTGTGCCCATGTAGACAGCCAGGGCTATGACCATGGCAGCCGTCACCACCCCGCCCCAGGTCTTCACCTCAGGCTGCCGCATGCTGTTGAAGACGGGCACACTGCTCACATGGCACTGTCCGGGTGAAGAGCACAGCCATGGTGGGAAAGTGACCTCACCCCCAGTGACTTTCCAGAGGACGGTACCTTGGGGACAGAAGCTTCAGGGACTCCCATTTTATCCTTCCTCCCAGGACTCCCTTATGCTGCCCATAGCATGGGTTCTACCCCAGGGTGCAGATGAGCTGAGGGGGCACCAGGACCTTGCAGCTGGCACCTGAAATCCGAAGCAGATGGTGGGCATTGCATTGAACACAGCCATCCAGGAAGGCGGCCTGCGGACAAATACAAATGTGTGTCTGCCTGTGAACCCCTCAGAGCCACCAAATGTACCCTTATTCTTCATTCATCCCATGATGATCTCTAGCAACCAGCATTCTACACACCGAACACATAGTCTGAGACCAGAGAGAGAAGACCTCTCCATTTACAGTTCAGCAAATGAGGCTCTGAAAGGACTTTCTGGTACTAAAATCCAGAATCCCCAGCTCAAGGACTAGTACCTTTGTTTCTCTGGTATGTTCCATTAAAAAAAAAAAAGTGATAAAACAGATTCATCTGTATACAGAAAATATAAAAATTACAGATAGGTCTGGGGATTTAGCTTAGTGGTTCTGCCTTCTGCCTCATAAGCACAAGGGTCTGAGTTTGATCCCCATACCAAAAAGAAAAAAAATACAGATAAACACAAGCTGGAAAAATGTGCAACTGCTTCCTATCGATCCCCACAGTCTGGTGTCTCATCTCGCACCAGCTCATTTCTTGGATGTTGGTGGCAGAGTCTTCTCCTGCCTCTGGCTTTCACTCTTCCCTCCAGTAAGAGACCAGAACCTCTGCCGCCTTCTAGCCTGATGAGCTCAGAGGCTTCGGGAGAATTTACCTGTGTGGCAGTTTGATGCCTGACCCACAGCACCTTCTGGAGCCTAGATGGCAGTTTCTACCCTATGTTTCCCAGAGGCCTTCACCCACCTGGTTAAGATGTCCCCTGGGGTCATCTCTTTATCTGGCCAGATGTATTTGAGGATAACGATGGCAGTGACATACCAGGTTCCCACGACGCTCAGGAAGCTGCAGGAAGGAGAAACTGACTTCCAACTCCCTAGCCCCAGAGGCTCCCTGTCTGGTTTTATCCCTGGGGGTGGCCATCCCCAGCTACAGAGACCACGGGTGTCCAATGAACACTGGGAACTATGCCAAGCAAGGACTCGAGAGATGCCTGAGAAGTCAGTTTCAGAGAGACTTGCCATAGCTAGAAAGGGGCTAGACAGCCAACAGGGACCTGAGTGGCATTTCTGGACATTGGGAATTGCACTGACTCAACTCCACAGCTCGGAGAACTGGGCTCCAAAGCACATTTACAACTTCAATCAGAGGAGCCAAGCCTTGGCCTGCTAGCAGGCCATCCTCTGGGCCAGGCCTGGGAGAACCAGGACCTACTGAAGCTAAAGGGCAAGAGCACAAATATGATGCCAATAATAATTCGGGTGTGGTGGCACATGCCTATAATCCCAGCACTTGGGAGGCTGAGGCAGGAGGATCATTGTGAGTTCAAGACTAGCCTGGGCTACATAGTGATTTCCAGGTCAGTCTCAACTACATAGTAAGACCCAGTCTCAAAAAGCCAAAAAAAAAAATCCCAAAAAACAACAACAACAAAAAACAAATGCCAATAGTGCTGGGAATGTGGAGATGGCTGAGTGTGACCCCTTCCTTTACAGACTGGAAAACAGTATAGAGCCCCACAGTTGTTCAGATTTAAGACAGGAAGCCAGGCTTCTCCCTTCATGCTGAGTTGTATGGAAGATGTTGGTAGGTGGAGGATCTCAAATGATCACAAATCCTGTTCTCTCAGGGAAAACCAAGGCCAGGGCTGGCAGGACACCCTCACATTCCCATCCATCAGCCGTCTCTGACAAGGACATTTAGAACTGAATCTCTCATTGATGCCAATAGCTGCTGTCTTTCCCAATAGGGACAGAAAAGAAAGGTCTTAGGCCTGACACCCCACATCGCACACTTTGCTCCCCGAGCAGGCAAGGGGTCATGGAGAAGAGCAACCAGCAGTCACCAGGTCTCTAGCTGCCTGTGGTCAGAGCTTGTCTGGCCCAGGCTAGGGTGGGGCCTCCGAACCTGGCATATTTCTGGAAGCCAATCTCCCTGGGGATGGAGAGGGGCAGTATGAATAGGAAGGCAGTCAGGCTGATGGTGAACTTGCGGTCTGTGTACCAGGAGCTGCTGATGGCCTCCTCAGGCTCCTTTGCCATCACCGCTATAACTGCATAGGAAGAAGGAAATGTCATGCCAGGCCACCACAGGGTGTGGCCCTCTGCTTTGCTGGGCCTCAGGACCTCCCTCAATGGGCCCAGTAGCCTGGAGGAGGATTTCCACATGAAGGCCAAGTAAGTGTACAGCTTTTCCCACCACCCTACGATCCCCAGGGCCAAGAGGGAGGGCTCGAGTGAGCATGCTGGGGAGAACCTCACTCTTGTCTTGCTGGTCACCAATGATGATGAGGAAAGCAATACAGGTGCCAAAGGTGTAGGTGGCGATGGCCACCTCGCACAGCACGCCTGTCAGCTTGCCACACACGGCCCACACCACCTCCTGATAGGTCCTCTCATTGCTGGCCTGGGAGCAGTAGGCCAGGATGACGAGGCCGCTGATGATGAAAACCAGCATGCCCTGCAGCAAGAACAAAACAAGGGGTGTAGGGAAGGCCTGGGAGCCAAGCTCAGCATTTACTGGGCCAGGGCCCAAAGTGAGTTTGGCAAATGGGGTCTCATCTTGAAAGGAAATTTGAATAGACTGCTGGAGGTTGCCAAGTTGAGATTTTCTTTAAACACAAAAAGTTTTGTGAAATATTTCAAACACATATGAGTAGAGAGAATAGTAGAGTGGACTCTCACTGGCCCATTACTCAGCTTCAGAAATAACCAATTCATGTTGTCTCTTATTCCCCTTCCCCCTCTGGATTAGTCTGAAGCCAATGTAAGCTATCTTGTCATTTCATCAGTATATTCATCAGTAGTTCTCTAAGAAAGGGTCCTCTTTTTTTAAAAAACATAGCCATAAAATCCATGCAACACCTAAAAAATTAAATTTGCATCGATGTTCAAATCTCTTTGATGGGGAAGACGTTTGAATCCTCACTGGGGCTCATACTAAAGGGTGTTGGAATACAATGGGAACATCTGCATGTGTAACAGAAAGAATGGCAGTCTCTGCTTCTGCTGACCATGCCCAAACCACAGCCTCCCGGTGAAGCAGAGAGCTCACACACGCGGCATTGTGCCGTCAGCCTGGGCACTCACCATCTGCAGCATGATGCCAGCAGCCACGCCCCCTGCAGTGCTGAAGGCTGCTGGGAAGTTGAGCAGTCCTGCGCCCAGGCAGGCATTGACCACGATGAAGATGGCCCCAAGCGTGGAAGTGGTGCCTGTGTCAGGGCCCCCAGGAGAGGCGTCACCCTCTCTCTTGGGGACGGTGTCCACACAGGGACTCTGCAGCAGACGAGCTCGCTCCCCAGCATCCGTGCTTGGGCCCCACTCGCTGTAGTCACTGTTGATGCTGACCTGGGCCATGGCACTGAGAGCCCTCTTCCTGCAAGGGCTGTGGGCTCTGCCTCACGACCACATCCCAGGCGTAGCGGAGGGAATCCTTGCCTGTTCAAGTCTGTTATTTTATGGAAATTCTTTTCAGCGTAGATGGGATAAAGGCAAGTACTTCTGATATCCTGAAATACAGAGGCTGGGGCACAGGAAGGTAAAACAACTCTGCCAAGATCAAAAGGTAGCCAGTTGAATGCCTGTAATCCCAGCATTCTGGGAAGCTGAGGCAGGAAGATTGCCAGTTCAAGCCCAGCTTGGGAAACCTAGTGAGATCCTATCTCAAATTAAAAAATAAAAGGGCCAGGGATATAGCTCAGTGTGAAGGCTCTGGGTTGACTACCCAGTACTACGTTATGTGGAGTGGCAGACACATAAATGTGTCAGATGCAAACCCTGCTTGTTGTAGTCTTACAGGACCTGTAGGGAAAATATACCTGAACATAAAGAGAGGGTGCTAACAGGCTGGCAGTAGAGAGGCCCCAGTGATCAGGCAGGTCACAGCTATACCTTATCTCATTCATTCCTATGGCAGTCTTGTCAAAACTTTCATAGAGACAAATTACTGATCTAGGGTCAAACATCGGCCAGCTGACACACACAATTTGGACCCGTGTCTGTGTGTCTTCCTGCCAGTTTCCACACCACAGGGTCCTACAAGGATCTCTCCGCAGGAACTGTGGGTGTTTCAGTGCATCCCAGCCCAGGGCACCTGCCTGCAGTCCAGACACTAAAATCATGTGTGGCTTTCAAGGCCCTCAAAATTCAGGCCAATTCTGACTCCTTTCCCACAAGACAAGTTCCCCACACCTTTCGCATGTGTCCTCAGGAAGATGACCAATAATCCTACCCTCTCGGGGATGGGGTCCACACAGGGACTCGGCTCCCAGCCCCTCTTCGCCAGCCCCTTCTCAGGTCCCCTTTCTTCCCACTTTATCAGACGCTCACAGAGGCTTTCTTGGAGCCACATGAGGGGCTAGCACTGCTCAGCCTGGTTTCCTTTTGGCTTTCTCTCAAGTACTACCACTTCACGGCACCAGGATCGCTCTTCTGGGCCAGAGTAGAAGGCTCTGAGGCTGAACATTAACTGACCACCATTGTGATGGCTATGGAATGCTTTACCTCATTTAATCTTCGATACAGTCCTAAAAGGAGACATAACAGCTACTCCTTTACCCAGGAGGAAACTGAACTCTAGGGGCATTAAGCCATTCGGCATTCTACATGGAGTCATACAGCAATAAGTGATGGAGATGGGATTTAAAAACGAGGTCTGAATCCCTAGTACCACAAAGAAACAAACAATGACAGCAACATCAACAACAACAAAACCCCAGCCCGTCTGGTCCTAGAGCATCTATCTGTTTGTGTTTGTGTCACCCCTGGGCACCAGGGACATAGTTGAACTCAGATATCATGCTTGCCACCTGACTGACTCTTTTCATTCCAGGAAAACATAGATGAACTGCAGTTTTCCCCTCAGCTTTGGCCTTTTCTTGAAAACCAGGAAGAAGTCTATTCTTTCCAGAATATTTTGAGGTACTCTGAGGAATCCAGCCCTGAAAACTGACCCTCACTATTCTCAAGGCTCAGCTACAGCCAAGACCCTTGAGAGAAATGACAGTTGTAAAGAACCAAGCCCAAACTCAGCTCAAGAGCTGACCTGAGCACGCAGAGTCTGTGATATGGGATTTGGATTGGGCTCTAAAGTCTCACTGCTGACTCTTCCACTTCCCAGCTGTATGACCTCGGGCAAGTCACATCACACCTCTAAGCCTTTACACCATAAGTTCCTATGAGGACTGAGGGATGAGCACTCAATAAATGGTCATAGGGCTGGGGATATAATTCAGTGGTGCAGGTGCTTAGCACTTGTGAGGCCCTGTGTTCAATCCCTAGCAACCCCCTGACCCAGAAGGGGTCATAACTTGTGTTATGTTTGCAAATGTCCCTTCCATTCTGCTCATCCTCCACAATGCCTAAGAATCTGCAAACCTGAGCAAGCAGAGAGCAAATAATCATCAAACTGGGGCCTGGTGCTATGTGGCAGGTAACAATGGGCACAAAGGCATTGGAACAGCTAAGGGGAAGAAGAGCAAGGTGAAGGTCAAATTAGAAGGGCAGGTACTGGGCTGGGGAGGTAGAACATATGCTCAACACATACAAACAAGGCCTTGGGTTCAATCCCCAGCATGCAGTCTCTGAAAAAATGAGCAGAGGCTGATGAGTAATGAGGAGCCCTGAGCCATCTTCCAAGTGTAGCTTTTGATTAGTTACCATCTGGGCTGGCAAAATCCACCGGACCCCTTTTCCCAGTCTCTACCTTCCTAAGTCTTGATCGCAGGGTATTCAGATAAAAGTCATTCTATTCTGCACTTCTCCCTCTCTGGCTTACTCTCTGTGGCCCATAGGAAGAGAAATAAACTGATCAGGTCCTACCAAAAGAGCAACCTAACCACTGTCAATCACACAGCCGTTCTCTCTGCTGTGTCAACCCTCTGGGGGGTCTAGAATGGCTTCTGGGGCTCCCTGAGATGCTTCCTAGTTGCTTTTCCCTGTGATGGCACGATCAAAGCTGGGAAGTGTGCCTTCTTGAGACAGAAAGGAGAAAATGCAAGTGCAGGGCACACAGTCCTCTGTTGCTCCCAGATTCAGAAAGATGAGACCTCAGCACAGCACTTCATCCTCTTACACAACCTGTCCCTCAATCAACAACTCAGCAAAAAAATCAAAGCAGTGAGTAGTGAAGGCAGAGTCTCGGGACTCCCAGGATTCCAGACTGACTCCAGAGCAGTCTGAGCCCACCTCTCCCACCTATTCACACCATGAGGTCGACTGGGTGACATGTCCAAGTCATAGGCCCAGGGGAGCTCCTGACTCTCCAGGGAGCAGATTTCCTTTTGCCCTCACACCACCCTACCCCAGTGCTTCCACCACATTTGAGCTCAAGCTGAGGAGCTCACAGATCTGGGTGGCTGAGTGTCCCCCCATCTCCACCACCCATTATTCAGCTCCCCTGTTCCCAGCTTACCTGCTCTATCAAACTACTTGGCTATGGCGGAAGGTGGTTGGTTCTTCTCCCTAGAAGGCTGGGATCTGGTTCTCCTCGCTTCCCTCTAGGCTCAAGTTCTTTCTCAAGACTTTACCTAAAATCTTCAGTCAGCATAGAGCAGAGTTTAGGATGTTTCTGAGCTGGCTCAACAGAGAGGGAAGGGGAACTGGGCAGCTCTGACATCAACTCAGAATGGAGCGCCAGAGGGAATAGGGGAAAGCCTCACTGAGGGAGACATAAGACTAAAGTCTCAGTGGGTACTTGGCAGGGTCACAGCTACAAGCCTGGCTTCCATATGCTCTAGACTTAGATGTAACCATGGCAGCAGGCCCCTCAGATCCCACCCGGGGCGGCTTCTCAATCCAGCCTGAAGTTTGAGACCTACTATGGAGGGGCTGGGCTGCATTATTGGTGGGTCAGGAGCGCGGAGGGGGCGATTCCCAGGCCTGAAGTGAGACCTGTAGGCAACGTTGGCCAACTAGGTAGGGAATCCCGGGACTCGATCCTGGCCTAGGGTTAGGTGGAGTCCGGTGCAGCACGGCCGGTGCCACAAAGGGCGGACGTGGGGCGAGGCTGGGTCTGGAGCCCTGCAGGAAACGGATCTGGGTTCTGCCTTGGAGGCGGGCTCTAGGGACCCTGGTACCAACGCATCCACCCTCCACGGCTCCCACCTCCTGCCACCTACCTAGTGTACCTCATTCCCGTGCTGGCGGCGGAGGCACGTGAGCACGGATCACATGACAGTCCAGTTCGGGAGCCAGCCGCAGTTCACCTTGGGAGTTGTAGTTTCCAGTAAGTGTCAGTCTTGGAAAACCAGCTCTCTGAGTTATCTGCCTGACAGCATTGTCCTGAGCCAACCTGGCCCTCAGCCAGCCCCCGTTTATTCGGCAATTTTTAAGTCTGGTCTCTTGGCCAAGCCAGACACTGCCCTCTCCTTGGAAGAGCGTTAGGAGGTTTGGCAAAGTCCACATTCCGGGGCGGAGGGCCAGAGCTATTTGGCTTCACTGACCTTCCCAGCCTCTGCCAGTATATTCATGCCCACTGGCCAGTGTCCCTGGAGTTTGCCTTAATGAGATTGTGGGTGACAATTTTCACCTCCTTGAGCCCTGTTCTTTCCTAAAAAAAGGAGGACTGGCCTGGGTATTGTTTCTGGCCACCGACTGGGACCTAGATTCTAGAACATTTCTGAGACATTGTAGGCTCCCAATAAACATCTATTGAATGAAGGAATGGATGTCCAGGGTCATGGATTCTGTTCTTGACTGTGTCTCGCATAACTTGTTGCATTATCTCTGGCATTTTGATTTCCTCTTCTGTGAGTTGATGGGCTTTTTACCACACCTGCCTCTCCACTGCATCAGAGGTCATTACTGGTAAGGAAATATGGGGTGTGGCTTGTCTCTCTCTTTTTTTTTGGCACCAGGGATCAAACTTGGGTCCTCGCACTTGCGAGGCAGGCAGCAGAATCACTGAGCTAAATCCCTGACCACCAAGTATCGTTTTTAAAGTTGGAGATGCTATTGAGATCATTGTAGATTCACATGCCTTTTAATTTTGGGGGTGGTGGTGCATGGGATTGAACTCAGGTCCTTGTGCTTGTGAGGCAGGTGGTGGCACCACTGAGCTAAATCCCAAGACCTAAAAAAAAAAAAAAATTTTTTTTTTGGTTTTTTTGAAACAGGGTCTCACTACATAGTTGAGACTGACCTAGAATTCACTATGTGGCCCAGGCTGGTCTCGAACTCACAGTGATCCTCCTGCCTCAGCCTCCCAAGTGCTGGGATTACAGGTGTGCGCCACCACGCCTGGCATTGACTTTCAATTCTATTTAAGTGATCTATATGTCTATTTTCCTCCAAGACCACACTTGTCATGATTATTGAATTTTTTTATTTGAATTTTGTGTTACCGGGAATCAAACTCAGAACATTGCCATTGTGAGAGGCAGGTGGCAGAACAACTGAGCTAACTCCCCGGCCTCTGTTGTTTAAATGGAGCAAGATTTTACATTTACTAAAAGAAAAGAAACAAGCTCTGCAGCGTGACTCTGGGGCAATTAAAAGTAGGGAAAGAAGTATACTCTGCAGGGTGAGAATGGCCACTGTGAAAGAGAACACAGTGACCTGATTATTAAATTTTATGATCATGGGATTTCTTTATCTTTACTTAATTTTACTAATTGTTTTCTTTTTGAAAATTTCTGCTTATTTAGATCTTTAATTTCTTTCAATCATGTTTCCTCTTCAGAGAATATATTTCACACTTGTTAGATTATTTCTCACTTTTGCCCCCCTTCCCACGCTGGACTCAAACCCAGGTGCCTTGTGAGTGCTAAGGATATGCTCCACCCTGGAGCTGCATCCCCAGCTAAGTGTTTTTTTAATGTTTGAATCTTGGCTGTCTCTAAGAAGGTCTGTGTAATAAGGGCGTGGTCCCCAGCTCATGGCTGTGTTGGGAGGTGGTACAACTTTTCAGAGGTGGGGCCTTGTGACAGGAAGATAGATCACTGAGGGTGTGTGCTTGGAGGCTGGGCCCCTGGCTTCTTCCTGTCTCTTCATTTGCTTCCTGGCCACCATGAGGTGACGAACTTTGTCCACCACCTACTTCTCTCTGTAAGAGTTAGTCTGGCCAAAGAAGCAACTTTTAATTGATTTTCTGCAATGTTTCTATTTTCATTTTCATCTTTTTTAGTTCTAATTTTTCTTATTTTCCTCCCTTTTGGTTTTGGGTTTAGTTTGATCTTAAATTTCTACTTTCTGGATGAAAGAGAACATCATTGAATTGAAATCTTTTTTAAACATAACCTCTAAGTTTTGATATGTTGCATTTTCTTTTCTTTTTCTTTTTTTTTTTGTTACCAGGGATAGAACTTGGGACCTTGCACTTACAAGGCAGACAGCAGAACCACTGAGCTAAATCCCTGGCCCTGCATTTTCATTTTCATTTATTTCAAAGTATTTTCTAATTTCTCTCATGATATTTTCTTTGATTCATAGGTTATTTAGCAGTATATTATTCAATATCCACATATTGGACTTCCTTCTGTAAATGACTTGTAATTATATTTCACTGTAGTCAGAGAAAGTAGTTCATACTATTTCAATCCTTTTATGTTTTTAGAGATTTGTTTTACGGCCTAACATATGGCCTGGCGAATGTTCCATATGTACCCAAGAAGGGAGTATATTCAGCTTTTGTTGGGTGGAGTGTTCTTTGCTTGTTTTGGTACCAGGGGTGGAACTCAGGACCTTGTGCTTGTGAGGCAGGTACCACTGAGCTAAATACCTGGCCCCCAGGGTGGAGTGTTCTTTAGATGTCCACTAGGTTTATTTGTTAGCTTACAGTTCTGTTTACATTCTGCTTTCTTTTTCCTTGTCAACCTTCTGCCTACTGCCATATCCATTAGTGAAAGTGTATCTCCTATAGACCAAATATAATTAGAATTAAAAAAAAGTCATTCTGGGGGCTGGAGGTTTGACTCAGTGGTAGAACATCTGCCCAGCATGCACAAGGCCTGGGTTTACAGCCTTACTAAATGCTTATTTAAAAAAGCCTCTTGCCTCTATTGATTGTGGGCTCTGTTTAGACATTTGACTGTTAGGATACTGACTTTGCCCTTAGAACTCTTGCTTTCAAGTTGCTTTGGATGATAGCTGTCAGGAGAAGCAAGCAGATCTATGTTCACACCAAATACGCTGTAGGAAGCCTTGTAAGGAAGGGTGTTGTGGGTACTTGTTGTTTTTGTCTGTTAAGCCTCCAGACCCTTTCTGGAAAGAGCACCACATTGATCTTTATAAGAGCATAATAGTTTCTTCTTTGGATTCATATATTTGTGTCAGGCTCATCTCATTGCCATACTCTCTCTCTTCCAGCAGAGGGCGTGTGACTTTATCTGTCCAATCAGCATAAGTCATCCTTTGATTTCAGAAATGGGGACATGACTTAAACTGGGCCACATTTGTTGAAACTTATTGGCTCCTTCTAGGCCTTGCTTGTACTTTATTATGGTAGGGGTTTTTCTTTCTTTTATTCATTACACACATGCTTTTACTATCTAATTAATTTTTTGCAATACTGTCTTGCTATGTATTACAGGCTGGCCTTGAACTTCCAACATTGTTTAAAAACTTGCAACTCTTAATTATTTTCAGATTCTTCCAGAAGATGCTGTGTGGTGCTTTGTTCTGCTGATCACATTTTGTTTGGAAAGATTTTGTCTCTTGGCTGAAGATAGCAACACTTAAGTGAAATCTAGGACTTGGTGTAGAGTTTGAGCCACCTACTGGCAGTAGCTTCCCTTTTCTTCCCAGAGGTGGAGTGGACCTTTTATTTTCCTTTTTTGAGACAAGGCCTCACTATGTATGTAGTTCAGCCTGGCCTTGAATTCCTGCAATCCTCCTGCATCAACCTCTGAGTGTTGGGATTATAGGTGTGCTCCAACATGCTCAGCATTGGAGAGATTTTTTTTTCTCTAAAATGAGCATACATTATTTGTATCAGGAAGAAAAGTATCAACAATTTTGTATCACTTTGAAAAAGAAAAATTGGTCCTTCTGCTAGTTATAAGTAAACCAAAACTCTTTATGATAAAAAGCTGCAACTCTGAAATAAATAAAAACGTTTAAAACATTTTTGGACTGGGATGTGGCTCAGTGGTAGATTGCTTGCCTAGCACGTATAAGGCCCTCAGGTTGATCCCCAGCAGCATTTAAAAAAAAAAAAAAGCCTCAAGCTGAAGGAGTGAACTGGGCTTTTTTTCCCTAATAGTTCTTTTTTTTTTTTTTTTGTAAC